CCCACTGACGTGTCTAACTGATGAGCAAACAGCACTGCCAATGACACCAAGCAAGAGCGCTCTCCCACTGTCATCCCAGTGTCTGCTAGCTGCTGGAATCTCAACGTAAAAGCATCTTAGCAATCACTCAGGGCTGGGCCATTCTACAGAACACCAATTCTAGGCAAGGACGTCAGAATTCACAAATCTTTGGACAGGATATTTAAGCACATACCATTTAGGTTCCCACTAGCAGACACAGCGCTGCTTTGTTTTTGGTTGTCATAAGCAGGGCCAATGTTACTGAGATCCTAGAAGAAGAAACATCCTAGTAAAAAAAAGGCCACAGGAACAAATTAATCTGATAATTGCTCAAAAACAAGCAAACAAAAAACAGACAAAAGTAGAGCATAGAAAATGAAAAGATCCCCAGGTGGACACTTCATGAACTCATGAAGGAGCATGAGTGCCGCAGGTCAAGAACTAGGGTCGGATGACTCCAGGATGCAATCAGCCAAGCAAGCAGGTGGAGGAGGGGAGCCGCCCAGCAGGCTCACTCTGCTCTCCAGGAATTCTGGCCCACAAAGCTGTATCTTTCCATTTATGAGACAGAAATCTGAATTTCCAGTGGCCACCGAGATGGCCAGCTCTTCAGATCTTCACAGGCAGCAATCAGCTTCAGCCTCAGTGGCTGGGAGGAGGAGGCTGAGGACAGAATCTGAGTCTATGCCACATTGACAGATCTCATCTCAGAAAAAGTAAGCAAATCAAGCATTTTAAGGCAAATCTGAAAGCCTTTTTAGTTGCCAGTGGGTCCTCTGACATGCAACAACAAAAAAACAAAAACAAAAAGGAAATTTCTTTTTCCAAAAGGTTCTAGCAACACATATTCTTCAAAATTTCCTCCACCACAAAGAATGTTTTTTTAAAAAAATATTTATTTATTTATTATGCATACAATATTCTGTCTGTGTGTATTCTGCAGGCCAGAAGAGGACACCAGACCTCATTACAGATGGTTGTGAGCCACCATGTGGTTGCTGGGAATTGAACTCAGGACCTTTGGGAAGGGCAGGCAATGCTCTTAACCTCTGAGCCATCTCTCCAGCCCCAAAGAATGTTTTTATAGGAGCAAAATTTCAGATAACAGAATACAGGGGGAGGGCCTTGGTCAGACTTTGTTGATTCCCATGGAAGTTTTACCCTTTCTGAGGAGTGGACAGCAGGTGAGGTGGAGGGAAGAGTGGAACATGAGGAAGGGAGGGAGTGGAATGGGGATATAACTATGTAAAATAAGATTGCATTTAAAAATGTTTAATTAAAAAAAAAGAAAAGAAAAAACATAAAAACTAAGCCCTAACACTAAGGAACAACTAGAATCAATGTGGCCCTAGCAAGTGGGAGGCTGAGGCAGTAACAACTGTCATGGGTATAAGCCAACCTGGGCTACAGTGAGATTTTGTTACAGACTAGCAGTGTGTCTGACAGATGCAAACAATCTTGTGTGCATGTGTGTGTACATGTATGTGTGTTGGGTGGGAGGGGCTTGCACATAACCAAGCACACTTCTGTAGAGACCAGAAATAGTCTCTTCAGAAATAGTGTCTTCCTCTATCAGTCGGCCTTTTTGTATGTGGGTGAGAACAAGTGAAAATGTAGAGGTTAAAGGTCAACTCTGCAGGGCCAGGCTGTGGTGATACACACCTTTAATTCCAGCACACGGAAGGCAGAGGCAGGAGGATTGGTGAATTTGAGGCCAGCCCATTGAGTTCTAGAACAGACAGGGATAACCTCTGTCTTTAAAAACAAAAAGAAAAAAGAAAAAAGGGACAACGTTGCAAACTGGCTCTCTCCTTCCACCAGGGCCTCAGAGATCAAACTCAGGTCATCAGGCATGCATAAGCAAGCAATTTTTAACAGCCTAGTCATCTCACTGGCTCTACCTATTTTTTGAGACTGTCTCTCACTGAACCTGGAGCCTGCCATTTAGGCTGACTGGTCAGGAAGCTCCAGGTCTGCCTGTCCCTGCCCCACAGTGCTGGGCTCCTGGCTTCTATGTGGGTGCTAGGGAACTGGGGAGATGAGCTCAGGCTCTCAGGCTTGCACAACAAAAACGTATGCATGGAGTCATCTCCCCAGCCTCTCCTCTGGTGTAGGAGGCTCTTCTGTTTATGTGCTGCTTTCATTGGTTAATCAATAAAGAAACTGCTTGGCCTGATAGGGCAGAACTTAGGTAGGCAAAGACAGAACTAAATTCTGGAAGGAAGAAAGCCATGGAGCTGCCAGGTCAGACATGCTGAATCTTTCCTGGTAATCCACAACCTCGTGGTGACATACAGATTAATAGAAATGGTTTAAATCAAGATGTGAGAGTTAGCCAATAAGAGGCTAGAGCTTATGAGCCAGACAGTGATTTAAATAATACAATTTCTGTGTGATTATTTCGGCTGTAAGCTGGCCGGGTGGCTGGGACAACAAAGGACCCGCTCTCCTCATACAACACTTCTCCTTTGTTTTGTTTGTTGTTATTTTGGGCAAGGCCTCAAACTCATGATTCTCTGTTTGTACCTCTTTACTGCACTGTCATGAGTACATCACGACCCCAGGTCATACAGTGCTGCTAGGCAAACACTATCAACTCAGCCACATCTCCAGCCCATTGTGAACAAACCTGCTTCACTACCCTACTTGGCTTCTGACAGAAAAAGAACACAAGGCCAAAGAGATAGATGGCTTAGTGGTTAAGGGCATTTGCTACTCTCCCAGCGGACCAGGTTCAGTTCTCAATACCCACATGGCAGCTTACAGCTGTCTGTAACTCAAGTTTCAGGGGTGCTGCTCCAACTCCCTCTTCTGGCCTCTGCAGGTACTACACATAGTGCACATACCTCATGAACATAAAGAGAGAATGAGAGAGAGAGAGAGAGACTGACTGACTGACTATGAAGGAAGGATGATTAATATACCTGATCCAAAAGTCCAAATTTGGGATAATCTTCTTCTGGGTCTTTGCTCCCTGGGTCCGGGTGCTCCTTTACCAAGAACACGTCTCTCTCCTTACTCTAAAACAACACAGTATCTTAGTAATAATGAACATTTTCCCCCTCAGAAGTACAGAGGATGTTCAGTCATCAACTCCAAATGTCAGTTCCTAATTGTGCTCTCCAAAACCCTGCGGTTCCTCTTATTATAAAACTGTGCCAGGCGGTGGCAGCTCACACCTCTAATCCCAGCCCTCAGGAGGCAGGGGCAGGAGGATCTCTGTGAATTGAGGCCACCTTGGTCTACAAAGTGAGTTTCAGAACACCCAAGACTACAAAGAGAAATCCTCTCTCAAAAGCAAAAAAACAACCAAACCAAAATTACTATAAGACCATAAAAACTCAAATGGAAGAGGCACTTTTTTGTTGTCTGTTTTTTGTTTGTAAGACAGGTTTCTCTGTGTAACAGCCCTGGCTGACCAGGCTGGCCTTGAACTCACAGATATCCACCTGCCTGCCTCTGCCTCTGGAGTAAAGGCGTGTGCCACCACTGCCCAGATGAAGAGGTACTTTTCAAGTGCCCACACTAGGCTGCTGAAAGTAGTTCTGTTGCGAGTTCTTGCCTAGAATGCATGAAGACCTGGCTGATCCCTAGCACGAACACGAGGTAAAGTGCCAGAGGTGAGGAGGCAGACAACTGTAACTGGCACTCTGGATGGAGGGGAAGCCAGAAGTTCAGTCCCCTTTGTCTACATGCTCAGTTCGAGGCCTGGGCTACAAGAGACCTAGTATAAGAAAAACAAACAGAAAAACAAGAGCCGTGCTTCAGAACCCTCTGCTGTCCACTCACGGAATTAAGGAGAGCTGGCGGCCTACTGCTGACCTCTTCAGAAGTGATCTCATTACTTCTATGTCCAGAACAAGATTTTATATAATCAAAAATGAAAATTTGAAAAAAAAAATTGGTCTTCAAGTTTAGTATAAAATCAAATTGCAAAAGAGGGCTCGGCTCAGCACTTAAAAGCACTTGCTGCTTTTCCAGAGGACCCAGGTTACTTTCCACTGTCGGTATTAGGTGGCTCAAAAATCACCTGTAACTTTAATTCCAGCGGATCCCAATGGCCCTTTACTAGCCTTCATCGGCAATGGATACACATGGTACACACACACATACATATAAAGTACATACAAAACAACAACAAAAACCAATAACAAGCAAGCAAAAAAAAAAAAAAAAAAA